GGGGAACCATGCAAAAAACGCATCTTCGCACGGGCAGCCCGTGCGTTGGCCAATTATTGTTGTTGTAGAAATTTTAAAGATACAAGAAACTCAATGAATCGATCCCTGGCCAGGATATGTGTTAAAATATGCAATTTGTTTGGCACGGCTGGTGCACTATCGTTCGTGAGAGGAACACAATCGAATTTTGATAATTAATACGAAAACACAGTGGAAGTAGGTGCCATTTAGATCTCCCAAATAAGCAAGCTTGTATTGGCTAGCATTGACTTGCTAGCCAGCCCTTGTGCTTCATCCCTAAGCTGTAAACACATGCGCTCAATGTGCAGCACCCGCAATCTACTTGCCCATAATTTATATAGTGAAAGATGCGCGCTAGTGATGATATGAAAGATATTATCGCGTCCCGTTTTTACCAATGAAATATTGAAGAAAAGGAAAAACACCCGAATTAACTAAAAAAAAAACGCGTAACAGCAAAACACCAGCCAAGGATTCGGCGATTTCGAGTTCCATTAAGTGCAGCAACAACGACGAACAACAAGAAATCTCTTTTTGCACCCTCAATACTTCCTCCTTTATATAGTCTGCAGATCACTGGGCCTAAATTTCGCATGGCGGCAAAGATCGGCAGTGGTGAACCCAGCCGGGGGGCAGCAACAGCGACGAGCGACCAGAAATTTCTTGCGCATCCCATATATCCTTTCTATAGCGTAGAGCATCGGGCGGCAGGCATTACCGCCGATAAAGAAGCGGGGCAATACAACGATAAAAAAGTATACTGAAAAAAAATTATAGCAAACATTGAGGAAAAAAAAATGAAAAAGAAAACGAAGTAAAATATTATTATTATTTTCACCACGTTATCGATTGTAAACAATAAAACAAGCGAGTGAAATATTATTATTTTTATCACATATGTCAAGACTTTCTTTACAGCCAACATGGAAGTCTTTGTTAGCAGTGTTACTCATCGATCCAGGCCTCTGAATCCCTGAATGACACAGTTCCATTTAGTATCCACCGCCCTATTTAGTGTTTATGCACCATCTCTTCAGTGGTTGCCCCCGAGTGGTCGTTTACTTTTTCATGAGTACCCCATTCACTAGTCCACCAGTTCTCGACAAGACGGGCAGTGTTGCCGTGGTGCCCATCGAATTTTGCTTTCTCGTTTGGTCGTAATGATATCCTGCACACCGCTCATCTGACAAAGAGTCTGATTGTTTATTCAGACATGAAGCGGCACAAACCAAGCATCTTTTGCTCCATTATTTCCATCTAATGTGTTTGTTTCACCAGTAACTCCTTGTCGCGTTTTTCATCTTAAAGTGCAAACTTCGAATGTAATATTTAGCTGGAAACAATTGAGCAAAAGATGCCTGGTTGAGCAAGAATGTAATATTTCCATTAAAAACCAATGGATGCGGGCCTGGTGGACGAAGCAGCTCATCTGTGGTCTTCGCTGTAAATTAATGATAGTAATAGACCACCAAATCGCTGTTCCGCCTTTTCAGCTTCTGTTCCCCTTGAAACAGTAAGCGATTTAGGCATGCGCCTGGTTTAGAATCAAGGTTGATTGAACCCTCAGTAGTCGAAAGGAGTTTTTTTTACAACGTCAGATAGAAGAGGGAAGAGTGGACAATAGATTTGAGGGGTACCGGGTGATTTTTGCAGATCGATGATGAATTTCAAAATTGGTGGAGCGGAAGAGCGAATGCCATTGCCTGTAATCCATGCGTTTGGTATCCTGAAGAAAGCCGCTGCACTGGTGAACAAGGATTTTGGATTGGATCAAAAAATCGTTGATGCTATCTCGAAAGCGGCCGGTTCGTTTTCAATCATCACATTGCATCTGCTTGCAAACTAGAGCCAGG